GAACAAGAGAAGGCTCTGCAACAGGTTCAGGCTGCTGTGCAAGTGACTATGCCACTTGGGCCAGATGATCTGGTTGATCCAATGGTGCTTGAAGTGGCAGTGGCAGATACAGATGCTGTTTGGAGCCTTTGGCAGGCCCCTATTGATGAATGACAGCGCAGACCCTTAAGATTTGGGAACAAAGCCCTGCCATTCTCTGTAGATAACTACTGTCCTTCTGAGAAACAGATTTTGGCTTGTTACTGGCCCTTAGTAGAGACTGAACACTTAAACATGGGCCACCAAGTCATCATGCATCCTGAACTGCCCATCATGAACTGGGTGTTGTCTGACCCACAGAGCCATAAAGTCAGACGTGCATAGCGGCACTCCATCATTAAATGGGAGAGGTATATATGAGATCAGGCTTGAGCTGGACCTGAAGGCACCAGGAAGGTGCATGAGGAAGTAGCCCAAATGCCCATGGCCTCCACTTCTGTCACATTACCTGCCCTCTCCCAGTCTGCACCTATGACCTCATGGGGAGTTCCTTATGATCAGTTGACTGAAGAAGAGAAAACTCGTGCCTGGTTTACAGATAGCTCTGCACAATATGCAGGCACCACTCAAAAGTGGACAGCAGTAGCACTGCAGCTCCTTTCTGGGACCTTCCTGAAGGACAGTGGTGAAGGGAAATCCACTCAATGGGCAGAACTTTGAACAGTGCACTTGGTTGTTCTTTTTGCTTAGAAGAAGAAATAGCCAGATGTGTGATTGTATACTGATTCATGGACTATGGCCAATGGTTTGTCTGGATTGTCAGGGACTTGACTGAACATAATTAGAAAATTGGAGACAAGGAGGTATGGGGAAGAGTTATGTGAATAAACCCTCTGAATAGGCCAAAGAAGTGAAGATATTTGGTCTCATGTGAATGCTCACCAAAAGGTGACCGCAGCAGAAGAGGTTTCTAACAATCAAGTGGATAGGATTTCACCTTCTGTGGAAACCAGTCATCATCATTTCCCCACCCACTCCTGTCATTGCCCAGTGGGCTCATGAAAAAGTGGCCATGGTGGCAAGGATGGAGGTTATGCATGGGCTCAGGACCATGGACTTCCACTCAGCAACGCTGACCTGGCTACAGCCATTGCTGAATGCCCAATTTGCCATCAGATGAGACCGACATTAAGTGTCTGATATGGCACCATTCCTCGAGGTGATCAGCCAACAACTTGGTGGCAGGTGGATTACACTGAACCACTTCCTTCATGGAAAGAGAAGCATTTCATTCTTATTGGAATAGACACTCTGGAAACGGATTTGCTTTCCCTGCCTGGAATGCCTCTGCCCAAGCTACCATCCATAGTCTTACAGAATGCCTTATCCACTGTCATGGTATCCCACACAGTATCACTTTGGATCAGGGGACTCACTTCACAGCATATGAAGTATGGCAGTTGGCCCATGGTTGTGGAATTCATTGGTCTTACCATGTTTCCCATCATCTTGAAGCAGCTGGCTTGACAGAATGATGGAATGACCTTCTAAAGACACAATTACAGTGCTAGCTAGGTGACAGAATTTTGCAGGGTTGGGGAAGTGTTCTTCAGGAAAGTGTATATGCTTTAAACCAACATCCAATATATGGTGCTGTTTCTCCCATAGCTAGGATTCACAGTCCCAGGAATCAAGGGGTGGAGATAGGAATGGCACCACTCAGTATTATGCCTAGTGACCCACTCACAAAAATTTTGGCTTCTTAACCCTGCAACCCTATGCTCTGCGAGTCTAGAAGTCTTAGTACTAAGAGGAGGAATGCTTCTACCTGGAGACACACTGTGCATTCCACTGAACTGGAAGTTAAGAATGCCACCCTGCTGCTTTGGGCTCCTCATGGCACTGGATCAACAGGCAAAGAAGTGAGTTACAATATTTGCTGGTGTGACTGACCCTGACTACCAAGGGGAAATTGGATTGATGCTGCATAATGGAGGTAAAAAAGACTATGTCTCAAATACAGAAGATTCCTTAGGATGTCTCTTAGTACTACTATGCCCTGTGATTAAAGTCAATGGAAAACTACAGAAACCCAATTCCAACATAACTACTAATGGCCCAGACCCTTCAGGAATGAAGGTTTGGGTCACCCCACCAGGCAAAGTACAACCTCGAGTATATCCCACCTGAATTTAGAGACCATCTGAAGAATAGATTTGATGCATTGAACACTAATGACCAAAGACCACACAACTTGTGGAATGACATCAAGGGTATCATACATGAAGAAAGCATGAGGTCATTGAAAAGACAGGAAAGAAAAGATCAAAATGGACGTCAGAAAAGACTCTGAAACTGGCTCTTGAACGTCGAGTAGCTAAAGCAAAAGGAAGAAATGATGAAGTAAAAGACCTGAACAGAAGATTTCAAAGGGCGGCTCGAGAAGACAAAGTAAAGCATTATAATGACATTTGCAAAGACCTGGAGTTAGAAAACCAAAAGGCAAGAACACTCTCGGCATTTCTCAAGCTGAAAGAACTGAAGCAAAAACCCAAGGCTTGAGTTGCGATATTGAGGGATTCTATGGGAAAAATATTAAACAATGCAGGAAGCATCAAAAGAGGATGGAAGAAATACACAGAGTCACTATACCAGAAAGAATTGGTTGATATTCAACCATTTCGAGGTAGAATATGATCAGGAACCTATGGTACTGAAGGAAGAAGTCTAAGCTGTACTGAAGGCACTGGTGAAAAACAAAGCTCCAGGAGTTGATGGAATACCAATTGAGATGTTTCAGCAAATGGATCCAGTACTGGAAGGGCTCACTTGTCTATGCCAAGAAGTTTGGAAGACAGCTACCTGTCTATGCCTGTTCCCAAGAAAGGTGATCCAACTGAACGTGGAAATTATCAAACAATATCATTAATATCAC